GATAGGTTTCGTACTCTGGTTCTGTACTGAAGTCGGTTTCAAATAATTAGAAGAAATCTAAATGAATGAATGAATGAATAGAACAGAATTGAATATAAAACAACAGAATAATTTTTAAAAGCTTTTAAAAAATAATTTTTATTCAAAATAAATTGTAAGCATACTTATTGAGTCATTTAAGCTTCACCACTGCAATATAATATTTTATAGAATTAAGTATGAAAACGTTTAGAAACAGCATGGTTTATACGTGGTAGACTGGTAGAGCGATAGTATAGTGGCAGCTTGACACTACTGTGTTTCGTATGGTGAGTGTTGAGAACCGGAGACTCATTTTACTGGAAAAGAGGCATTCCGTCTTAGTCCTCACGGGTGACGACGCATGTGCATTTTGATTCTTTATCTAGAATAAATGTAGATGTCAATGGGCCACTGCAACCACTTACCATCAGGTGGACTGTGTGCTCGCTTGTCAACCTATCCTATAAAAAAAATGGTTGCCATCACCTCATTCCCAGAAGTAAAAAATAATAATATACCCAAATAAACAGTGTTACCACTACCGTCAGTGCCTCATATTACCAAACAGTTGTCGGATATATTTCTGTTACCATAAAAATTTAATTCAGAGTAATAAAAATCCAATAACCTTACATAACAAGTTCATTGAAACTAATAATAATAATAATTTCTCCTCGACCGATTTCGGCCACGGCGACCTCTTCAACTCCGATCCTGTCGTTGGTGTGCTCGTGTATGGCTAACGTAGCCAATCTTATTTACGTATAATGACGCCTGGCCTAAAGTTCTGGGCAGACATGGTGTTGGTAAAATGAACAGCAGCGGCCAACTGTTGCTTAGTCTTTGTGCACAATTAGATCTTGCAATTACAAATATTATGTTCAGATTGCCTGCCAAGTACAAGGCAACGTGGATGCACCTCAGATCGAAGCATTGGCATCTTATCGATTACGCTATCCCACGTCAAAAAGACCTCATGATCTCAAGTCCAAGTTACCCGTGTCATGCGTGGTGGTCACTGTTGGACTGATCACCGGCTTGTTATAATTAAATTAAATCTTCGTCTTCCACGTCCTTGTAGATAGGAAAGATCTAAACAGATACGTCTAAAATTTGAACGACTCCAAGATACTAACACGAGGGCTAAATATGCCGAAACCTTGAACACTGCTCTGCAGCCCCTCGATCTAAAATCAGGTAAGATCAATGTTGTCTGGGAGTCTCTATCTTCTCATATTCTCGACACTGCTAAATCTACTTTGGGTTTGAGAGTCTGAAAACATGAGGACTGGTTTGATGAGAATAATGGGGTACTTACAGACGCTGTTGATAAACACCGTAGGCTCCTAAAGCAGCACAGTAGAACTCATCAGAGTGGAGGTGTTATGGAGTTGCGTCATAGTGATCTGGAGCTGCGTAAACTTGCACGTCAAACGAAATAAGTGGAGGCAGGAGAAGGCTCGTCAGATGCAGTGGCTCGCTGATACCAACCAGCTAGGTGAGTTTTATGCTGAGGTGCGACATCTACTCGGTACGTCCTCTATGGCGAAAGTTCCACTGAATTCAACTAGTGGTGAAACGCTTTTTAAAAGCAGGGAGGAAATACTCAAGTGATGGGCGGAGCATTTCAACACTCTACTTAGCGTGGATCATTTTGTTGACCTAGACCACGTCCGCTGTCTACCTCAACAACCTTTCGCCCTCGCCCTCGAGCTCGATGAGCCAGTCTCGCCTGACGAGGTTGCTCTTGCCATTTAGTGATAGCAAAATAAACGCGCGGTCGGTGTTGATTTTATACCGGGTGCATTATTGAAGTATTTTAATTATTGAACAAACTTGTGTCTGAAGTCGAGTCTTTGCTGAACAAAGTCTCGGATTGGGGGCGACTAAATTTAGTCCAGTTTAATCCTCAGAAGACACACGTTTGCGCGTTTACCGCTAAAGAGTACACCTTTGTCGTATCTCCTCAGTTTCAAGGCACTCTCCTTGCTGCCTCAGCTAGTATCGGAATCCTTGGTGTCGACATATCGAATAATGTGCAGTTTCGTGGTCACTTGGAAGGGAAGGCCAAATTGGCCTCTAAAAAGCTTGGCATGCTCAGCAGAGCGAGACAGTATTTCATGCCGGCACATCGCTTGCAACTGAGCCGGGGCACCCCAGTGCCAGCTCCTTCCACTTGACCGCATTCAGCGCAGAGCGGTTCGAATCGTCGACGACCAAGTTCTTTCTGATTGGCTCGATACGCTGGCACTGCGTAGAGATGTTGCATCTCTTTGCGTATTTTATCGCATCTACCACGGGGAGTGCTCTGAGGAATTGTTCTGATTAATCCCAGCCGCCAAATTTCACGAACGCATATCGCGGCAGAACTCCCGATACCATCCACACCATCTGGATGATTGGCGGTCCACCACTGTGCGATTTAGAAGATGTTTTCTTCCTCGCACGACTTCCTTGTGGAGTCGATTACCATCAGCGATTTTTCCGGACCGATACGACTTAGGGTACCTTCAAGAAAAGAGCCTACTCCTTTTTAAAAGGCCGGCAACGCATCTGCAGTTCATGGGCAGCGGTAGTCACTTACCATCAGGTGAGCCGCATGCTCGTTTGCCCCCTCTCCTATAAAAAAAAGTATGGCGGTGGGGATTTGTATTCGGCGTTATGGGAACTTTTTGTCGTTATGTGGGAAAAAGAACAAGTCGCTAATACTTTTAAGGGATCCCTCATACGAGCCCTATATAAAGGCAAGGGTGACCGGTCGAACTGCAATTCTGACCGTGGCATTTCTCTACTTTCAGTGCCTGGAAAAGTTTTCGCCAGACTTCTATTTAACCGCCTCAGGAAACTTTCTGAAAGGATTTTGCCGGAATCCTAGTTCGGCTTGCGACCTGACCGTGGTACCTGTGAGGCGATTTTCTCATTGCGTTAACTGCAGGAAAAAAGCAGAGAACAGGGTTGTAATATGTATCTCTGTTTTGTAGACCTTGAGAAGGCATTCGATAGTGTACCGCAAGAAGCCCTCTGGATAATTGAAACTAACCGTGTAGTAATGGTGAAAGAATATCCACTACCCCATAAGCCCATATCGTCCCGTGGGTGTCGTAAGAGGCGACAGAGGAAAACCGAAACTGATGGTAGCAGCTTCTTCCTGATAACAACTCAAAATTATCAAAAAAACTGCGGTTGTCCGGTACCCTCCTATGAGGCAATCTATGGGGGAGGCTCATGATTAGCAATGGACTTTTATAGTAATGGTACCTAATTATACATATGTATCTTATTCTTCCCGAGTTTGATTAACACCTACTCAATTGCATGCATTATCACCGTAACCACAAATTCCAACACCTTTACAATAGGAAAAACACCATGGTCGATAATACACATGGTCTTCTAAATGAGGCATAACCAGGAAAATAGTCTCCACGATGGCTAACCGCTAAGACAGTCGCAGAAAATCATTAATATAATGGATTTCCGCTTAATATCTATAATTGTCTGAAAAAGATGACCTAACTTCCCCAATAACCGTTTATGTAGCTTCAGACGTTTAATTCCTAATAGTTCACCGTATAGTGACACATAATAACATAATAAATCATGATACAGATATCACACCTGGGTTTACTTACGTGGTAGAGCCACGGTGCAGCTATACTATGGTTGCAGCACGAATGGGTTGGATCGAACGGAGTAGGACCACGCTCTCACAGAATACCAGCGTAAAATAGCAGGCTATGTTTCGTATGGTGAGTGTAGAGAACCGGCGACCCTTTTTACTGGTAATAAGGCATTCCATCTTAGTCCTCAGGGGATACAATGCATCTATATTTTGATTCTTAATCAAGGATAGATATAGATGACAGCATCCACTTACCACTGTGTGCTCATTTGTCATCCTTATTCTATAAAAAAAAAAATCCTAAAAACACAACTACCCCATATCATCACGTGGGTATCCTAATAAAAACTCAAAATTATAAGAACTTACCAACCCGCCTGCCAAGAGTGGCCAATATGGCAAATATGGGGGATTGGGAAACAAACCATGAGATGGGCAGCAGCGTCTTCCACACAACATATAATAAATAAGAAACTGCGGTTGCCAACCCGCTTCCCAAACATGGCAACTATGGCAAATATCCCCCTTATGAGGCCATCTATGCAGGAGGTCTATGTTCAGCAGTGGACTTTATATATAGAAATTAGGATTTTATTACATCTACTTTGAACGGGAAAATAATTAAAATATTCTATACATATAAATAAAACAGAAAAGTCTATCTGTAATATTGAAATAACTCCCTTATATTGAGCTGGTTGAATCTATTTGATTGTACGTGATAGAGCCATGCTGCAGCTATTATAGTAGTATAGTTGTAGCACGAATGGGTCGGCTCGACCGTTGAAGGACCACGCTCTCACAGAATACCACCGTAAAATAGCAGCTTAATACTGCTGTGTTTCGTATGGTAAGTGTAGAGAACCCGAGGACCCTTTTTACTGGAAACGAGGCACTCCATCTTAGTCCTCACGGGTGACAACGCATCTGTATTTTGATTCGTAATCGAGGATAGATGAGGATGTCTATGGGCCACAGCAACCACTTACCATCAGGTGGACTGCGTGTTCGTTTGTCACCCTAATTCTATAAAAAAAAGCCAATACCAAGTGTGATCTAAGCTATATTGTTTCTCAAAAACTTGGGAGATTTTTTTTTCTAAAATAAATGGTCTTAAAATCTAAATAACGCCACATTTAATAGTTCCCACCCAGGCGGAGCCGAGGCGCGTCGCTAGTTATAAATAAACATTAAGCTAAATCAAACATAGTAAAAATACAACTGAAGTTTCATTGCGAAATACATTTACTGATCTCTTAATAAATTGTATGGCAGTTACTTAATTCGTTTTTTTAAATTCTTCACAAAGGCACTGTTTTCAGACAAACTCTCCAACTATACCCTGATAATGAACAAACTACATAATTTGCTTTAAAATTCCCTGACGTATGAGGGTCTGACACTCGGAAGTAGGTAGGAAGTGTCTACTGTTCTTCTTCAAGAGTATCACATCACCGTCCTCCAGCTCCAACTTGCCATAATCGGTTAAACATAAAACTTCTATATACAATGATTTCGGTGGCCTCAGGTTTTCCGTCAAGTCAATCCCACTATACCCTATATCCTGTCCTAAAGATCTCATGTAGGACGCTAGGTTTGTGGAATATTTCGAGAACCATTCGTATTCGCTGTCAGATAGCAGTTCTCTCACGTCTGGGGGTAGAACTGAGCCGAACTCCCAACGCAAGGTCTTTATTTTGTTCATTCGACTGTAGAGGTACGCGAGGAGGCACCGCTTGTTTCGTTCTAGGGCCGAATGCCTGACCTGAACCGTTGTCCAAAGCGATTTGTTTTCTGTGGTTGCATTCCTGGAAATTGTTAAGAACCTCTGTCAATAGAATATAATTTGTTATAATCAATACTAGTTGGTACCCGGCGTTGCTGCCGCTAAAGAAATAATTGTGGCAATATCGTTTTAAATTTGGAAGATTTATATTCTTTAATTAGAAATGATAATAGATTCATTGAATAGAACTATTCTTTACGGATTTTATTGCGTTTAATTTACTATTTTAATTCCCGACATTTCGAGTGCTTTACAGCAACCCATGGTCACGGGGAGGACTGAGATGTTTGACGACGCAGAATGAAATGCGTAAATCGAACCAAAAATTAATATTAAAAAACTGAAGGCAGCCGGGCTAACTGTGACATCGGGACGTTACAACATCTCAGTCGTCGTTACCCCCCCCCCCCCCCCCGCGCCCCACGTGACCATGGGTTGCTGTAAAGCACCTGAAACGTCGGGAATCAATATAGTAAATTAAACGCGATAAAATCCGTAAAGAATACTTTTATTCAATGTGTAGTGTTCGCGTAATATTCATTGAAATTGAATGATATATAACTTTCTAATAAATATATCGGTGCGATACGCGCTACTTAATTGCTTACAATCAACTTAGAATTAACTTACAGTAGTAAGTTAATTGTACTATGCCTATAACCTTCGCGTGAGTGCAAGCAATAAGTTGACAAAGTTTTAGCGCTATCTGATGAACATTATAGCATCGCAAAAACTTCGAATAAACAAATATTATTTTTATATATTAGATAGATAACAGGAATATATATTCAAAATAATTGTTTTATCACTGGTTCGGGAAAATCCTCTTTGGGAAGAACCGGCAAGAAACCCAGCGGGATTTTTTTTTAAATATGAATGTACAACATATCTTGCAAATTTGGTAGCACCATGACGCAGTGGCTTAACACGTTAATTGCCAATCACGCGACGTCGCGTGTTCCCAGTACTCTTCAATTTGGCCCTTTACGCGACGTCGCGTGAAGTGTCCGACGAGTTTTGTATGAAGCGTATCGCCTGGGCCGGAGCGTTATCGCAACGGTGTTTTTTATGGGCCTCTAGAGTAAGGACTGAGCTATCGTAAAGTGGACGTGGCCATCCGAATCATGCGATAGGTTTAGTGCTACGTAATTGGTTATTTCGCTTAGCGTCGCCGCTCGAGCCCGACGTCTTTCTTGTTTGTTTTTAGTTAGTTGTGAACAAATAATACGTATTTTTTTGTAGTATAAAGTGATAATAATTATAATAAAACAAAATTTATAATGAGTGATCATCAACCTGGTACCTCTAGGTGTACGAAACGATCAAACGAGATACCTTTGCGAGCGCAATCAAAACGTGTTTTGTTGCACGAATCGGATATTCTTGACGCTTTAGGAAACTCTGATGAGGATGATTTTGTGGGAAGTGATGAAGACGAAGATTTTTTTGGGTGATGATGATGGAGACAGCTCGGAAGAAGATGAAGAAGGAGTTATATCACCGCTACCACCTAGTGAAATTCGATTTTCATCTGCAGAAAGGGAGGAGTTGAATGAAACGATTGAAGAGTCAGCTATGCCACATGAGTCTCCTGAACCTGAAGGATCAACCTCACACTGGAGTACTTCTTGCTCGTCTATGAAACAAATACTATTCGTTCGAGAGTCAAAGCTGCATGTAGAACCGCCATCACATCCAATAGATTATTTTCGTTTATTTTTCAATGAAGAATATTTGAGAATGATCGTGGAGTGCACAAACAGATACGCCGAACGTATGAAAAGCTCCAGTGAACATCGTCATTCACGTATTTCAAGATGGAAAGAGTTGACCGTTGAAGAGTTCAAAACATTTCTGGGCCTTCTGTTACATACTGGCAAAAATGAACCGATTGCCAGATTATTGGAAAGGTCACTGGTTATATAAATGATGCTTTTCGAAATACATGTCAAGAAACAGATTTTTTATTATTTTACGTTGTATACATTTTACTCTCCCTGATGAAGAAGAAGACGCCACTGCTAGGCGTCTAAATAAATGTCAAAAAATAGTTGACAATTTCAATAATACAATGAATAATATATATTATCCAGGCCAGAACATATCTTTAGACGAGTCGATGGATTTATGGCGTGGCCGCCTATTTTTCCGACAATACATCAAAGGGAAACGCCACAAGTATGGCATCAAACTATACGTGCTCGCAGAACCGGATGGCTTGATTTTAAATTTCCACGTGTTTGCCAGTCTTTCCTAAAGTTGCTGTTCATTATAATTGTAGACTTCGGTGTCTAAAATATTTAGAAGATTTTTTTTATGTTGCATGTTTCTTTGATATTTTGTTATTTTTTGTGTTATATAATTCAAATAAAAATTATTGATACTAAAAATATTTAATTTTATACATTTAAACTCATAATTGCACAAAAGTGCTAAGGTATCCCAAAACTCGACGTCGCGTGATGGGGCCCCTAAGGATAAATGTACACTCCACATGGCCCATCACGCGACGTCGAGTGATATATAACTATATTATATAAAATATTAAATATATATACTAAAACCATAAACACACCCGCAAATAGTATTTGCTGTATTTAAGAGTTATTTCATAAAAAAAAAGTTTTGGGCCACCAGCAGAAAACTTCAATTTTAGCTTTGGCAATGAACGTGTTAACAATGAGTTGCGGCGCTGAGAACAGCGGGTTCAAATCCCGTGCGAATCAAGTATTTGTATGGCCTACGAATAATTCGTCGCTAACGCCGCAAAGGAGCGAACTTCAATTTTTCAAAAAATTACAGGAGAGCAAGAAAACATTTATTATCCCTTGCTTTTTTTCATCAGAAAACTAATCTTATTCGTAGTTTTCCATTAAGTCTAATATATTTAATTTTCTGATGAAAAAAAAGTTAGTAATCGGGGAATAATAAATGTTTTCTTGCTCTCCTGTAATTTTTTGAAAAAATTGAGGTTCGCCCCTTTGCGATGTCAACGACGAATTGTTCCGGGTCTGGATGTTAGTCCTTGTGCAATTTATGTACTTAACCTGCATCCACCATACAGAAGAAATACCTAGTGTGGAGGTAACGTTTAAATAAAAAAAAAATATGAAAAACGACATCTTTCTTTTCTTTTATCTTAAAAGTCCGCAACTACCAAGGACCTCCCACGTAGTAGGGAGAATTTGCCTAAATCGTCATTCTCGGTAGACGGCATCAGTTTGACAACAGCAGTGTCAGACATTTCGCACAATTTTTTTTTATCGAATAACTATTAAAAAAAACAGTCCACCTGATGGTAAGTGGATGCTGTGGCCCATAGACATCATCTATCCTAATATACGTACACATATATGTCTCGATAAAGATATTAATCAATGCAGATGCGTTGTCAGCCCTGAGGACTAAGATGGATTGAACAGTAAGCAAGGGTCACCGCACTCTACAATAAACATATGAAAAACACCACCTCCTGCTATTTCACGCTGATGTTCTGTGCTAGCGTAGCTCTTCTCCGGTCGAGACGGCCCATTCTTGCTGCAGCTATACTAGCTTGCAACCTTCCTTTACCACGTAAAAATAATTATAATATGTACGCACTAACAAAAGGGGAAAATGCGGTCATAAAATAACATATAACAAATAATATATTAATAATATATTACACAGTTTTTTATATACACTCATATACTTCGTGGTAGAGCCATGCTGCAGCTATATTAGTAGTATAGTTGTAGCACGAATGGGTTGGGTGGACCGAGGAAAGACCACGCTCTCACAGAATACCAGCGTAATATAGCAGCTTAACACTGCTGTTTCGTATAATAAGTGTAGATAACCGGTGATCCTTTATACTGGAAATGAGGCGTTCCATCCTAATCTCCACGGCTGACAACGCATCTGCGTTTTGATTCGTAATCGAGGATTGATATAGATGTCTATGGCCCTCAGTCACCCTTATCCCATTTTTAAAAGAAAGATGCGTTTTCAGCCATGAGGACTAAGATGGATTGAATCTTTACTAGTAAACAAGGGTCTAACCATCATCTATATTCAACATATGAAAAACACCACCTGCTGCTATTTCACGCTGGTAGGTATGCCGTACGAAAGCAGTTCCTCTCCGGCCGAGTCAACCCATTCATGCTGCAGCTATAATTCCATAGATGCTATGTGCTCGTTTGTCACCCTTATCCTTTAAAAAATACAAGTAAGAAAGATAAAAAGCACGTATTCCACTTCTTGGTAAATAAATGGTGTATCTTGTAAATCTACCTCGAACGTCGATTATAAATCAAAATTAATATGCTATGTAAAATCAGAAAAATTAGTTTAACCCAATTAAAAAAAACTCATACTCACGCGTCGGCCATATTCATTTTAAACAGCACGTGCATTTCTTCGATGATCTGTCGTACTTTTTCATCCTATGAACAAATAAATATATAGCTTTTTAATTCTTAATCAAGGATACATATCTATGGGACCACAGCATCCACTTATCATCAGCAGAGCTAGCATGGGTAGGAGACAATTTTATCCTCGGAGAAAGGAGAAAATGTTTATCCCCTCGCTTAGTTTTATCTATCTAGTTATGGGGACAACGGTGGATATAATATCCACAGTAGATAAAATGAAAGATTGACTTAGACTTGGATAGATTTTTGCATGAATATAAACTTAAACCCACGTCCAATGAACTAAGATAAAATTGTCCCTTTCAAATGTCAAAAAATCATAATTTTTAACCTTTCATTTGGCTCCATACTACGGACGGGGGATATATTATGTCTACTCGTTATGTCAAACAGGGATACACTTCTCCCCGTTGCCGTGCTTTGGCATTAGGACAAGATAATTTTGTCTCTTGTCAGTGGATATAATCGGGGGATAGACGTAAAGTAGCCAGCCTTTCGGTTTTCTACAGGATGCATTTCGGAGAGTGTGCGCAGGAATTACATAATTTAATTCCCCCGTCTCCCTTCCACCATCGGACAACCAGACGTTCGGCCAGTCTCCACCCTTTCGTTGTTGACTTACCACGCATTCGAACCAAACGGTTCGCCACGTCGTTTATCATGCGTACAGCAAAGGAGTGGAATAAGTTACCAGCATCTGTCTTTCCATCCGATTACAGTGTGTGTGTCTTCAAGGCAAGAGTGAATAGGCTTTTGTTAAGTCAGTGCGCTTCACCATCTTAGGCTACATTACCACTTACCATCAGGTGGGATCGTAGATAAGCGCTGGCTTAGTAGAATATAAAAAAAAGATAATTTTTTGTCTCCAGCCCATGCTAGCCGTGCGGGTGGACTGTGTACTCGTTTGTCTCCCTTATTCTATAAAAAAATTATAATTAAAAACTGATTTACCACATGCTCGACATTTAAGGAAACCAGCGTCCGAGAATTTTTTTTTAAAAGGAACACTAGTACCGCTATTTAACACTACTAATAGTCCCGTTAACAACTCCAACGCTAAGAGTGGTTCACCACAGTAGTCGAATGGCAGATTCGAACCCACTACTATCTGAGTTTGCAGTCCGAACACTAAAATTAGGCTACGCGCTTTTAAAATTAAAAGTAGATATTTGACGATGACCTGTGAAATTTGCCTACACGCATTGGGACAGCGTGGCGGACGCTACCCGAAAATCCTCTCAAGAATGGGGTGAACTTATGCCCAACGGTTACAAAAACGTATTTTGACGCAGCTATATTACTATAGTTGTAGCACGAATGGTAAATAGCACCTTGACACTGCTGTGTTGCGTATGGTGAGTGTAGAGAACCGGAGACCCTTTTTCCTGGAAACGAGGCATTCCATCTTAGTCCTCACGGGTGACAACGCATCTGCATTTTGATTCGTAATCGACTATAGATGTGTCTATGGGCACAGCATCCATGGTAAGTGGACTGCAATTCATTTTTGTCACCCTTACTCTATAAAAATGGTCGACGGTGTGCTCGTTTGTAATATGGCATGCATGACAAACGCATAATTACATAATAAGATAAGGAGTATTTTTAATTTTTTTTTTGTTATCAAACAAGAACAGTAAATATAACTAATTACTCACACGCGTTTGTAACCAACTTAGATCTTTCAGATTTGGCCAAATATCTCATTGATTGTAACAAATGAAATCACTTGAAAAAAAGTACCTAACACAGGATAAACCGAATAAATTAATTACCTCATTAGGGTAAAAAGAAAAACCTGGGGTTTTCTGCGAAGCTTCAATTAATGTTTACTCGCGTACGTGTTTTTATTTCTACGCCTAACAAAACAAATCTATACAAGATTGGATGTATTTTTTAACATGTATATTTGACATATATCTATGTATAATAATATGTTATATACATAATTAATAAATTTGTTTCGCAATACCGTTACCGTTACAGCTTATTAAAGTCCACTGCTGAGCATAGGCCTCCCCCATAAATTACCTCTTAGGGTATTTGCCATAGTTGCCACGCTTGCAATTCCGCAATAAGACTAGTTATTTTTCCTATAAGAGCCATGGTAGTTCAGGGGCTAAGCGCTCGCTGTAAATTTCACAGTACGCGAGCAAGCCGGGTTCGATCCCCGCCGGCACCAATGAAATTGTTAATTGCAATTTTAAATGCCGGTTAACCACGTGCTCGGTTGTGAAGGAAAACGTCATAGGGAACCTGCATGTCTGAGAAAAAAATATTTTAAAGACATGTGAAGTTCGCCAACACGCATTGGGGCAGCGCGGCGGACATTTCCATGCCCTAAAACCCTCTCAGAAATCAACTGAAGCAGAAATCACAATCTACTGAAGCAGAATGAAATGAACGATATATTGGATAATATATACAACGTTAATTACATAATAGAGCCGTGGTAGCTCTGATGGTTAGCGCTCGCTGTAAGCTTCACAGTACTCGAACAACCCGGGTTCGATCCCCGCCGGCACCAATGAAATTGTTAATTGCAATTTTAAGTGCTGACTTACCACGTGCTCAGCGCTGAATAAAAACATCGTGAGGAAACCTGCATGTCTGAGAAATAAAAAAAAAATATTTCGAAGACATGTGAAGTTCGTCAACACGCATTGGGGCAGCGCGGCGGACATTTACTTGCCCTAAAAAAAAGAAATCTCAGAAATGAGAAGAGGCCTGTGCCCGCCCGGCAGTGGGACGTATATAGGCTGTAACTTTAACTTTTAACTTTATTTTTCCCGTCAATATACGTTACTACTACTCCGTTTGCTTTTAGATTAATGTTTATTTTTAGCTAGCGACCCGGCCGGCTTCGCCTGAATAAGATATATTATATTTTCGTCTTCAAAAAACTTCTAGTTTTTCGGTGCAGCGGTTTAAGAGTTCAGTCACATACACTCGGACAGAAGAATTATCTAATATGCATGTATTATACATATAAACCTTCCTCTTGAATCATTCTGTCTATTGATGAAAGTCGCATCAAAATCCGTTGCGTAGTTTAAAAGATCTAAGTGTACAAACGTATTAAAAACATATTTTACGATAGCATGCAGATAAATCCCGGAGCTTAACAGAAGCTGGTTTTTCAATATTACAGAGTCCTCAACGTAATTTATACGTGGTAGAGCCATGCTGTAGCTACGTTAGTAGTATAGTTGTAGCACGAATGGGTCGGCTCGACTGGGGAAGGACCACGCTCGCACAGAATACCAGCGTAAAATAGCAGCTTAACACTGCTGTGTTTCGTATGGTGAGTGTAGAGAACCGGAGACCCTTTTTACTGGAAAAGAGGCATTCAATCTTAGTCCTCACGGGTTACAACGCATCTGCATTTTGATTCGCAAACGAAGATAGATGTAGATGTCTATGGGCCACAGCTACCACTAACCATCAGGTGAACTGTGTGCTCGTTTGTCACCCTCTCCTATTAAAAAAAAGGTGGAATGTCAGTTCGTTTGTTACTTCTGTAGCGGCGCTGTCGTCGCGCCACAAGCGAAACATATCGAAGCCTAAATCGCGCTATCGAAGTTCCGAAGTAAAAGCAGTATATATTAGTCGGAGCATTGGCTGCTCCCCGGGCAGATCACCCGCCACACTTCCATTTCATAAGAAAGGACACCAATTATTGTTGTTAGAATTGATAAAAACTATTTGAAAATAAAAAACCTAAGCCTCTTAATAATAAAGACGGTATTGTGTCTTCTAGTATAGAATTCGCATTAATAAAAGAAACCATTAATTGCTGCTAATTCTTTATTTTATGTTGGTGGCAAATTCCACTGCTGACCACAAGCTTTAACCAATTTAAGTGGATACGCTAATCCTATTTTCCTACCTACTTTTTGAGATGTTAGTGCAGTTAGCCAGTTAGCTTATACAGCTTCATAGGACTTACAGCTTTATCAGATATAAATGTAGCTACTACGTGGCGGTGTAGATGTTTTATATCTGAAGCTTATGATGAGCAGGAAAGTGAACATTCACAGTAGCTGGGATAGTGCGTAGAAGAAGAAGTTTCTGGCAAAATCAACATGTGCAGTGGCATTGGAGGCGAATTCACTACATCATGTCATCCCAACAACAAATCTTACACCTTAAACATTAAATTCTTAAGCTATCATCTGAGATTTAAGCTAAGTGCAGCTTCGATTACAAGCTGTCACAACCTGCAAGTGTGAGTGTTTAATGTTTATTTAAAAAGTAATAAATTATTAAAAAAAGTAATGTAAAACTAAATTAATATGCATTTGGTAAAAAGCTGTTACTTTGACATATCGATAACAATATTGCAATATCATATATGAGTAACCTATTCGTCTCTTTTCAATTTCTAATGTCGTTGTAACATTTACGTGTGTCTAATGGTCCCAAAGAGTATGATAACTGTCATATGTAGAAATAATGAATGGTCTGATAACAGGAGAAAGTATATTTTTTTATATGGTTTGGTGTAAGTAAGTGCACAGGGGGATTAAATGTCAACAGCACCCTAGGCTAGCACCACACCAGCGCGGCGCCACTCGGGTGGCCATATATTAAAAAAAATTATATCTATTTTTTATATAGATATATAATTTTTATAGCATATCTATAGAATATATAATTTTTTATTTTATGTAAGTAGGTACTTCCTTTTTTCCTTTAAAAACTTCAGCACTAGCTCCTTTGTAACCTTGCGACCGAGGCATTTGTCCAATAATCCACCACTGAATAGGTGCATCTAATTATTGTTGGTTGAACTTAAGTGTATCTGATTTATTCATGGTAAAAAGTAGCAAGTTGCTGTTGGCTAAAGCTTGTACTAAAGTCTTAACAATAATTAAAATAACTGTGACTTCTGTTAACTTTGTCAAGAATAAAATAGTAAACATGAAATAATATTTGTAAGCCACCTCAGCTGCACCCCAATCACATTTAATCCCATCACAAGGGAGCAGCCTTCCATGTAGGGCACACAGCATAATAGTAAACTACACTTCATCATCGTCATTATTACAGCCCTCCACAAGTCCACTGCTAAGCATAGGCCTCCCCCAGGGAATGCTACAAAGCATGGTCCTGAGCCCATCCATCGACCTCCTGCATGTCTTACCAGGTCGTCCCTCCATCTGGTGGCTCACTGGTGGCCACTCGAGAACCTTTTTTCCCCATCGGTTGTTGGTTCTTTGAGCTACATGGCCATTGCCACTTCAGCTTACTAATCCTACTTAAATTACACTTACCAGATAAATAAGAAAATATTTATTGTTTTCATGAGACATTCCTCTCCACAGAGGGGATTCGAAACACCGTAATATTTGTAATTAACCGTACTTGCACTGCAGTGTTCCAGTCTGAAGGCTATAGAGAGCCAGAATGATTACAGAATGTAAGACATTCCATTTTAGCCCTCCGAGGTGATAACATTTCTGTAGCCTCCTTTGTGTGAAGTTGGCGTCAGGTGTCCATGGACTTCAGTAGCCACTTAACATGAGGTGAACTGTAACTTAATTTTTCACTTCAATTTTATAAATAAATAAATTTTTATACTTACATTGTACTGGTCAATAGTGTCGCGATTTCTTTCCGCTTCCTTCAGTAATTCAATAACCTTTTCACCAAACATTTTGTTTAATTATAATACAAATTCATTAAGAAAGTGGGTCCTTCATCTAAGCACCAGTTTCATTGGTTTCATTTAATTTTTTCCCGCCAAAAGGTGAACCAGTTATCGCAACGACTTTTTCGTCATTTATACCATAGCCATATTTATAAAAAAGGCTTTTCTTTATTCCGTTTCTTATTATAAAAATCTTTAAAAATTAACTAATGCTAAAATAAAATTTGTAAATGACTAATAGTAAATATAATAATAACAAATCTAACCTCAAAAACTAATTTGATTGACATTTGTAACATTTGTTTAATTTTTTTTATAACTGGCTTTACGGCTCTGGGTTCTAGCCCTTCTGAGTCTGAAGTTACAATGTATAATTATCCTTCATAATACACTGCTTCACAGTATGTTGATGCATCACATTGTGCAGCCCTTGGGAGATTTTGAAGGCAACTTGAGCCAGCAGACAGCTGACAGTTGGCAATGGTATCTCAAGGCGCCTAAGCAGACACCTTATCTTTAGAATCACATCACCATCAGAGCACTTGTTTCACCATTTTCACTAATAGTTCACATACGTAGAAACTTGATACACAAAATCGCATCAATTTTACAAATCAAAGTCCACTCCAAACCATTATTTAAACAATAATACAGGAGTAACCACCGCCGGTTAAGTTATAGTATGTAGTATAATGATTGCATTTGATTAGATAATTCATTATATATTTATTTTAGTTTTTGTGTATATATATATGTGTGTGTGTGTGTGTGTGTGTGTGTGTGTGTGTGTGTGTGTGTGTGTGTGTATATCTCTTTAAAATATTTATAATAAAAGTAAATTTCATTGCAATCAATAAATTAAAAAACAAAATATTTACAATGATTCAACATTAAAGATTTTTTCATTCTGTATATACATGAATTAATTTCCTTTAAATAAGTTAAGTTTATTGTACAATTGTCGTTTTGATTTATTTTTTATTTATTCCGTTTCTTTTTTACATATATAATGTAACCTTACGTCAATAAATTTTTCAACTTACGGATTGCTAAAATAAAAATAATAAATCTAAGTATCTAATCAAATTACACAAACAGAGACATAAGTAACAATTACCATTATTTAAAATTCTGGTAACAAATTAATAAAAATGATTACAGTACAAATCTACTCCATGTACTCTACTGTTCTGTTTTACAAATGTTTACGCGTGTATTGGCCAACCTTGGCAAAACATTTGTAGGGGTCCTTTAAAATCGGTAATTTTGTTTCAAATATGATAATAGTTGTTAGTTTAGAGCTTAAAATATAACTTATTCTACATGTACTTACCGAAAGTAAGACACTCCGGCTGTTAAATTGCTTTTTCGGGCATTATTCTTTCAAATTTTAAATATACATTGCGGCATTGTGAAACGTCTTTATATTGGCTGTGTTTCAAGTCAACCAAAACGAAATAAGAACTCACGTCTTCAGTACACTGTTATTTACTTCACCGTATTTTTAACGCCAACCCGATATTTAGTTGGTATTGTTGATCGAAGCTCCTTATCATTTATTTTTCCCAAAATATTCCATTAATGCAACAGAATTCAAACAATTCCACACAAATACGGGCACACAAATTTAGCTCTGGCAACACTAACTAATACTTTCTGGGCTTTGGCAGCACCGATCATAGATAAATATATATGTAGCAAGCTACAGATACGACAGTTACTTTTGGTTACTTTTAGTCAAGTTTCCCAACTATGCGTTTTGGCGCTGCAGTCGCCCATTTTGACAGATGAGTAATAAAAAAAAAATAGCTTAGAGATTGCAAGCACACATCCTTCAAATCATCGATATCGATGTTTAGTGGTGTTCTTATTTTATCGATATCGACAGAAGTGCATTATACAGGAATAATAATATTACTTAATGAAACACTTATAATACATTAACATTTATTTTTTATTCAAGCACACCTACATCATATACATACGTAATTTTAGGATTAAATTAAAGGCACATTAAGTTATATAAACAAATTAGAAAATCGTACATAACATTGTGCATAAATAAGTACAATTTGACGAGAAACAGAGCAATATTTATAGTTCATTAAATAAAGCAAATTAAACCACATGAATCATATTTAAGTGCTTAATATTTTACTTTTCAAGTTACTTTTTTGGCCTGGCCATTTTTTTTACAAAATTATTTTAATTGTATTAATAAGAAAGTTATTTGTTTAACATAAAATAAAGGTTTTCAAATAGTTCTCTACAGTTTTAAAATAGATTGGACATTAAGCAAGTCTTTGTGAGGATTGTTCACCCTTTTTTTTGCACACAAGTTACAACCTTTTTTTAAAATTTTAACATCTCTTCTTTTATTTCATTTTCTTCACCACGTAACCTGAAAAGAAATAAATAAAAATAAAGTCCAATATTCATATTTTATGACTGAATGATAATCATAAATCATATATTATTCATATTAAGGTAAAATAGGGCTTCATGGCAGTTGGCATTTTCTTTCGGTCAGCCATGGTGTGGTGAAAATAAAGTGATAGATGCAGTAAATAAGAAATAAAAAATATATAAATATTTACATTGTATACATCCATTATCAGGAGCTTTCTCAATGTCTTCAGGCACAGAGTTCCAAATTAGTGTAAACTTAATACTAAAGGAGTTGTTGATAAAACCATTGAAGTGTAGTGGAACTGTAATCTTTAGATTAGATGAAGAATAAAGAATTCTTATTGTGATTTGAGGATAGATATGCTGAATATAGATATAATAGATATGTTGAAATTTTGCCTAATTATGTATAAGAATAAACTGAATTTATCATACCATTTTGCCAATGTGTACATTTTGTATCTTCTGGCAACATTTGTCTCACCACATCAGCTTTTCACATCAGATTTCTATTCCTGAAAACAAACAATATTTGTGAATTTTATGCTCTTATACATAAACCCAAAATTAAAGAATAAATATATAATGTATACATCTATATTGTATGTATTAACTCTGTATGGCTACTGTTAACGACAGTTTAGTATAATCGTAATTAAAAAGTAATCTATATTATCATATAACTAAGTTATATGGTAACATAAATTACTTTTAAAAAGAACATTTATCTCCTTGGTGTTGGTACTTTCACTTGGAGGTTGTTCCGTGATAAGCATCTGAAAAATAAACAAATATCGACATCAACATTAAAAATAACAAGTATGCTCAAGATGCTAATAGCGTAATGTAGCATAAAATCGACTCCGCGCTATAGAAGCATATTCTAGGTTGCTACAGACCAGAGATTTTTAGGGAGTAACTTTATTTATTTATTTCTACCTCTGTCTTTACAGGCGTACCTAATACGACAGTGTAGGCATATAAAACTATCTAATTTAATAAGGACAGAACACAACTTATCTACTATTATAACATAATACATAATATAATGTCACTTAGGTAAATTCACCCAAGGAACAGCAGAATAAATCTACATCCTGAGCTACTTTATTTAGTGTGCAGCACTCGGGTCAGTGGGCCTCGTTTGGAAGGTACGTGCGCGCGGTGTCTCGAATGGTGGGGGCCGCTTCCGGCACCACACGTACCTGTCCGGCACACACAACATAGCTATTCGCAATATCGCCTCGTTATATACTTGGTTTGCGGGGACCTGAAACAGAGTTTACGTTTCAGGAATCCGAACATTCTATTTAACCACCGTCATCATTACAGCGCTTCACAAGTCCACTGCTAAACGTAGGCCTCCCCCAAGAAATGTCACAAAGCACGGTCCTAAGCCACCTGCATATCCAGGTCGTCACTTCATCAACATTTTATTTACTTAAACATTTTTTTCTTAACCTAAGACTTTTATACTTCTTTAAGGCCAATTTTTGGGGTTCACCCATTTTAGATACATATTTTTCATCAATATCACCCTTCAATATTTTATTGTTTATGTTGCACCAATTGTGTCCATGTAATCTAATTAAAATATTGGTGAAAAAGTTTTTTACAATTAAGGCATGCTTATCGCACCCTAGGCAGGAAAAACTCAAAGTGCTCAATATTTTTCTTTTCAAATTACTTTTTATATTACTTCCAATACAGCTATAATTCAAATAGTTATGAATAAAGTGAGTACCATCCCTGTACAAGATAAGGAATTTTTCGTTAGGGTATGCCAAATTATTATTTTTTAACAATTTATACTCTCTAAATTTAATGTAAGAGTGAATGTTTGTCTCCGTACTGCTAATATATGTTTTGATGCAATCCTTACAACGAATCGCTCTCGTTATTTTCCGACAAATGTATCCAGCAGTGTAAGCTGAGCAGTGGACTTTGATTTTTTCCATGACTACATCATTCACCAGCAACTTTTCTCTTGAACTTGCTTGTGAAGAAGATGGGAGATCTCGCGAAATACTGACAGTGTTTTCCGAGTCATTTTCTTTATTATTATGAAGGTTTTTAAAAAGAAGACTAACATTTAATAATGTTTCTCCATTATCCTCTTCACAGTTAGAGAATTTGGAATGTGGACTAAGCATGTTAGATAACATCAAAGATTTAAAGGCATATATAAATGTGTTTGCATCTGGGTTAACATTTCTATAATTTATAGCTCTTATACGGCCAAAAAAATTTTCTAATGGGTCTTGATTAATATTCCTCGGATAATAATATTCTACATTATACTGTTCAAATAACAATTTGGAGACCCTTATAAAACTTTCAAGAGTTGTAATCCATCCTTGTTGGGATGGCACTCGCACAAGTCGAGGTTTTCCTGCTTTTGTAGCATGTTTGCTACTGGTGTCTACAAAAACCATTTTTTTAATTTTATTAATGGCCTCAATCCAAAAAGTGTGATGTTGTGAATTTTGTTTAACCGCTCGTCTTAACTTTCCTCTTTGCACACCACCCGGGTAGCCATTGACGCTGTCAAACAGTGTGTCGAAGAATTCAACAACTTCTGCTGTTGTGGCCATTGT